GTGCCTGATACCTGCTAGGTGTTGGACATGCATGGGGTTCGACACGGATTCCAAAGTGAAATTTGGGTCGGCTCTTTTCATAAGGAGATAGGTTTTTGTTTTTATTTTTATTTTTAGTTTTTAATTTATTTACTATTTTATTTAACTGGACTTTTTTACCTTTATATTTGACGGCAATATTGACAAAATGTAATTGTAGGACCAATGTGTCGATTAAAAAAGAGTTAGTGGACCATTTGAATGAATAATTTAGTTAAGAGACCAAAATGTAACTTAGGTATAAGTTTGAGAATCATTTGAGTAAATAACCCATACTTCAAAGGCTTTTTTTTGTCAATATATAATACTTAAAAGATTAAGATTGTCACAAAAGATCCACTAATGTAGTTGTTTGGAGTAGTTGCACAAGGTTCTCCTAAAAAAAAAAATATTGCCATTTTGAGCTTATGAAATTATACAGAAATAGAGAAAATCCTAGAATATATAACAACTAAACACTCCCACTCCTAAAACCTAAATAATAAGGCCCCGTTTGGTTCACGGAATAGATTTGAGGGGAAATCACTTCCCATGTCATTTCCTAAGGGATGAAAAATGAAGATTCTTTTCCCAAGTTTGGTAATGCTGGGAAAGTAATCGGGGGATATCACTTAATTTCCTTTCATGTGTTTGTTTAATTGTTTTGGCAGTGTTCTAGGTGGCTGATGTTGTCTTTGTCTCGACGGCGGTGACAGTAGTGATGCTAGATTGTGACTCTCCTAGGGAGAGTTGTGATACATGGTGGCTGATGTTTTGTCTCTGTTTCAACGGCAGTGGCAGCAGTGACGTTGGTGGTAGTTGTTGGGATGTGGTGCTCTTCTCTACTTTGTGCCTACCAAAGAACTATGCTTGGTCGTAAGAGGTTTTCTTTGTTCTGTTCTAAGTTGAATGGAGTGCTTCTCAGGGGTCATTTTACTATTGCTTATGTGTTCCTCCTGCATGTTATATCCTGATTTCTGCTATGGTATGCTTTGCAGTTTGTGTGGGTGTCAAAGGACTAAGATTTTGCTCATAGAAGACTTCTTTTGACAGTTAGGATGTTCTGCAGTCCTCTTATGTGGGTCTACTATGTTGGTCTATAGTTGCAGTTATCGCCGGAGGTTTATGTGTTAGTTTTCTTTTTTGATTTGTTCTTTTATTGTAATGGTCCAAAGTGACCTGAATCAGACCCTCTTGTTAGTCCATGACATGTGTGGTACTCTTTCATCCCCTAAGGTTTGTCTCATGAGGTTGTCCTAGGAAGGTTTTAACGAGGCCACTATATCATATCATTCTTTGTATGTCTTTGGTTCTATGAATGAATTCTCTTTCTATATTTTTTATAAAAAAAAAGTGTTCAAAAGCACTTTATTCTCTTTTCAAGCGGAATATTTAGTACTTTATATTAAATACATAGCTTTAAGTGAGTGGACTATATGTGGCACAAACCGAATGAGAAAGAAAAGAGGGAAGGTAGAGCATTTCTCTGTATCTTAATATTTAAGTACGTTTTGATAATGTTTTTATTTTTGAAAGTTTTAATTTAAATTAACGTCGATTTTAACTTTTTATTTGATAGAAAAACAATAATTGTATTCATAAATTATGCACAAAGACTATAAGCCACAAGGACTAGTACAAATATCCACAAAAGGGGTAGTACAAATATGGAAGCATAGTAACCATGCAGGGTTAATCCAGATACATAGAAACACAACGGCAACATCAAGTGCACAAGGTGTATCTCCACTAATAGCCTCATAAGGCCAAAGAAATTAAAGAATAAAAGCTGCCAGCCTGAATAAGCCAGACATGAATTGCACTGCATACAACTACAACTTCTAAACTCTCACAAGTAGAAACTACTAGTAGATACTAGACTACAACCAAACACTCAACTCACAAAGAGTTAATGCGATTATTACAGCTCAAGAAACTGTAATCACCCAACTCACCAAAGATTTCAAGGATAACAAAATCACAAGAGCCAGCAATGAAATCACCAGCACAACCAAAGTGAAAATCTAGCAAAAAAAATTGATAAACAACCCTAAGAGAAAAAGGAGGAACACATAGGAGAGAGGGGAGAAAAAGGAGTAGAGGGAAGGGAAGGAGAGGAGGGAAGGGTAGAGAAGGAGAGGAGAGGAGAGGGGAGGGAAGGGTAAGGGAAGAAAGGGGTGGGGAGGGAGGCCACCACCCCCGCGACCGCGACTAGAGCTAAGTTCCTTAGGGTTTTGTTTTTTATATAGAGAGAGTTCCTTAGGGTTTCTAGAGAAAATAACTTTTAATTTTTATTTTTAAAGTTCGTGTTATAATGAGAAGGGTAAAATTGATAATGTCATTTTTGTTGTTGTTGAAGATGATAATGACAAATTGACACGCGCATAATGTAATTATTTGAATCCAATTTAAATAGACCAACCCATTTTTTTTCCGTGTGGTTTGGCTTATTTTCCACTTTGGTGTCATATAATTTTGTTTAGTTACTATTAATTATACAAACCTAACAATGTTAAGAAAAATAGATGATTTCTTTCATCGTGAATTCTTTCCTCTTATGTGGTTGTTGCATATTATCACGTTAAATTACATCTATTAGTTTGGCGAAATTTGTGATTTGAACTTGATTGCATCGATATCAAATTGCAGAACAAAAATTTCAAAAATTGAAACAACGAGAACCAAAGTGAAAAACGTATAAATTTACAAGGATAAGAATGTAATTTGACCATTTGAATAAGCTCAAATATGAAAGAGGATGCATGTGAAGTGAAATAGTTAAAGACGACATTGGGCTTGGGCGACAAGAGAATTTTATTTTTTTAGGAAAAAGAAAAAGAAAGAGCTGCGAAGTAGAGAAAACATGAGGCTGGGGGACAGCGAAGCAGATGGCAATCAAGTAGTTTGTATAAATACAAGGTTCAGCTCTCTCCGTGTTTAAGGCAGAGAGAGATCCCAGTGTTCTTGCCATATCCCTTTATCCTAGCCTTGCTAGCTCTCTCTTCTCTCTCTTCTCTGTTTCTTCATTTCTCTTAAACAGAGATTTCTGGCAGAAAATTGAAGACCCATTTAATATTTTTGATCCCTGTTGGGTTTTCTTCTCATGAAAAATAGAGATTAATTGCAGACATTTAGAGACACACTATACACAGAAGAAAGAAAAGGTACTAGTTCATCTTCTCTCTGTGTCAGCTTGTCTTCTTACTCTGTTTAGTTTTTATGCTTTGGTACTTGCTCCATCAGATCTCATCATATCATGATGGTTATGGTGTTGTTTTTTCCATGCCCTTTTTCTTCTGTCATTTCGTCAAACACATTGTGATCATCTTGTTAATGGGTTTCTTTCCTTTGCCCATTGGATCTGGTTTCTGACCAGACTCCCTCTTTTTCTCTTTTAATTTCCTATTTTTGGACGATGGTAATGGCACGCGGTTTTCACTTTTGTCAAATGCTTAATTTATCTCCCTTTTCGAAAAATGGGTTTCTAGTGTTCTTGCTCTGTTGATTTACCTTTTTAAGAAATGACTGGTAAATTCCTTTTCACAAGATGGGTGTGTATGATCTGTTTAGTCTTTTCTTTTTCTTTTTTTCTTTTCTAGTTTGAAATGAAGGACTGGGTTCTCTGTAATCTGCCTTCAACACTTTCTTTTGGTTTCTTGGCTCTGTTTCAGCGAAATTTAGGTGCATTTGTTGCTATGCTTTTGTGGGTTTGGATTGGAAGAATGTGCTTGCTTTGTTTGTTTCTGGTTTATTTTGATATATCTGTGAATCATCATGATTCAAGCGTAATTACCAAAACAAAACCCTGAATCATGCGTAATTACCAAAAAAAAAAACCCTGAATCATGCGTAGAAGCTTTTCTTAAGCTTCAAGAAAATGATGAAATTATTGGATGCTTTCTCACTTTATTTCCCTTTTCATTTTTTGTTTGTTGTAAAGAACACACTGTTTTTTTTGGCCTTTTTGACTTAGTGGCGGTGAAAAATATAGAGAGAGGGAGAGACCGCATCAGGGACGGCTCTGTTTGATGCGGTTGGGCCAGTTGTCATGTGAGAGACATAAAAGGATGTTGACATGGAAAGTAGAAAGTGTCGGTAGTTGCCATCAGATCTTGTAGTTGAAGTGGTCTATCTTCACTATTCCGATTTCACCACTTGGTCTGCATCATTTTGCTATTTTTTCAACCTTTTCCCACTCCCCTTCTTTTTGAGTGAATTGTGTAAATTTGTTATCCATGAGCTGGATCTGGATCTATCCGAGGAAATTGGTTCTCACTTTTCCAGTGGGTGATCCACATCTTATTTTGTGCTTCTCATGTTTAAGATTGATTGATTGGTTTGATTTAGTTAAACATATGCTTTATGCTTTTATTGATGTTGTTGGATAAATGTAGAAGAGGCTTTTATGGATCAGTGTCCATTAGTTTTTTACTTTTTAAAAGAATTTGTGAGGTCCATTCAATTAACTGGATGTGGGCAATAATTGCAGGGCATTTAAAGATAAATGGATGTGAAGTTAAGATTAATGCATTTAGTACTCTTTTCACTTCTTTGATTTCTGATGCTTTAGTTTGATATATGGGATGACATGGGGAAAGAAAGAAACCCTTGTGACCAGTCTGGTTTGAGTGGCTGCTTTACGTTTCCTAGTGTTTTGTACTTTAACTACTTCTTAGTACTACTTCACATGAACAAAATTTTCTTACCTTTTTGTGGTGAATGGTGCTCGGTAGCAGATTGGCATTATTAAAAATCTGTATTCACCTACAATCTGTGCAGATAGGTAATACTTTCTGAGATCATGAAGCATAAAGATGGAAAACCAGGACCCCAAGGTACCAGGGTTTTCCCCATGGCAATCTTGTTTGTTGTGCTATGCGGGTTTTCATTCTATCTTGGTGGAATCTTCTGTTCTGAGAAGAACAGAATTGAACCCTCTGATGTCAAAGATGTCACAAAGGCAGTTCGATCATCCAAGGAGTCACTTGTGGCCCCTCTCCAAATAAAAACTGTTTCCTTTGCTGAATGCAGCAGTGACTATCAAGACTACACCCCATGCACAGATCCAAGGGTATCTCCTTAATCATTGATCATATGGTACTTTTTGCTTTTTGGAATTTGGGAACCACTAGATGTTTATCAAATTGTGTTGAAAATGATGCATGCTTGTTGTACAGAGGTGGAGAAAATATGGTGTTCATCGGCTTACTTTCATGGAACGCCACTGCCCTCCAGTATTTGAATGTTGGTACAGGTAAATAGTTTAATAGTTTGTTTCTGATATGTATGGTCAAAATTCCAGTTTTAAGTTTCTACTTGTTTCATCGAGGAAAAAAAAAACAAAAAAGTTTCTCTGAGTATACCTTGTGGATCTGGTTTCAGGAATGTGCCATATGATTGGATTAACAAGCAGAAATCTAATCAGAATTGGCTAAGAAAAGAAGGGGAGAAGTTTCTCTTTCCTGGTGGAGGAACTATGTTTCCTAGAGGTGTATCTGCATATGTTGATTTGATGCAAGATCTTATTCCGGAAATGAAAGATGGGACTGTTCGAACTGCCATTGATACTGGGTGTGGGGTGAGTCCAATTTAAATCTTCTTTTGCATTTTCCAACATTTATAATGGTAAATATAAATTAAAATTTCTGGTGGGTGAAAGCATAATTTATTCTATTGGGAGGGTGTGCTTATGTTAGCATAATTTAGTCAAAATGCTTGTTGAAATTTGATTTGTAGCTTTCTTTTTTTATGGTTATGATTTTTAATTTTTAATTTTGTAATACTCTATTACTTTATTGTTCTTAAAGCAGCATTAACAGTTTACAGGGTTTGAAATTTTATAATAAAATTTAATGTTCCTTCTGAATAATTAAATTTGTTCGAAGTTACATCAGTTCATCTAAAAAATTTACTAATTTTTAGGTTGCAAGTTGGGGAGGTGATTTGCTAGATCGGGGGATTTTAACAGTTTCTCTCGCCCCAAGAGATAATCATGAAGCTCAAGTTCAGTTTGCCTTGGAACGTGGGATTCCGGCAATCCTTGGCATCATTTCTACACAGAGATTTCCTTTCCCCTCAAACTCGTTTGATATGGCTCACTGCTCAAGGTGCCTCATCCCATGGACGGAATTTGGTAATTCATCTATTAAATTCTTATAAAAATCTTTCAATCCTAGAGAATATAATTCAGTCTATAGATCTTGATGTCCAGCTGCTGAAACCAGTTTCAAATATTATCTTGAAATAACGTAGTGCTGCATTGAATTTTGCCTGCTAGCTCAGCCATATGAAATGTGTGCATGTATAGAACTTTTCCATTAGTGTATATAAGTATTAGGATATGTGTAGTTTTCACTAGTTCTCTTTGAATTTGGAGATTATTTTCTTTTTCTTTTTTTTTTCTCTCAAACCACCTTAGACAACTTCTAGCCACGAAGTTCCTGTGTTCCAATTATAATTTTTAATGAAAAATTCCCTGGATCACTTGTGAACTTTATGTTATTGCCATAAGATTGGAACTTCCTCTCTTCCCTTGTAGAATATCTTAGAATGGAAATATCTTTTTCCTCCTCTCTTTATCTTCTTATTTTTCTAGTTTGGGGGTTGGGGTTACCACTTGTCTTAAGGGCTACTGTCCTGCTTTCAGGTGGAATTTACCTCCTTGAAATTCATCGTATACTCCGCCCTGGAGGTTTCTGGGTCCTATCTGGTCCACCTGTCAACTACGAAAACCACTGGCGTGGATGGAACACAACCATAGAAGAGCAGAAATCAGATTATGACAAGTTGCAAGAACTGCTAACTTCATTGTGCTTCAAATTGTATAACAAAAAGGATGATATTGCTGTTTGGAAGAAATTGTCAGATGATAGTTGCTACAATAAACTTAATGAGCCGGATGTCTATCCTCCTAAGTGTGATGATAGCCTTGAACCAGACTCAGGATGGTACACGCCATTACGCTCTTGTGTTGTCGTTCCTGACCCAAAGCTAAAAAAGTCAGCTTTGAAATCCATCCCTAGATGGCCAGAGCGGTTGCATGTTACACCAGATCGTATTTCCGATGTGCATGGTGGGAGTGCTAGGGCTTTTAAGCATGATGACAGCAAGTGGAGGGTACGATTGAAGCACTACAAGAAGTTGCTCCCAGCAATTGGGACAGATAAGATCAGAAATGTTATGGACATGAACACAATATATGGAGGTTTTGCTGCAGGAACGATTGATTATCCTTTGTGGGTCATGAATGTGGTCTCTTCCTATGCTGCAAATACACTGCCAGTGGTCTATGATCGGGGCCTTATTGGAACTTACCATGATTGGTAAACTTTACTTCATTCATATTTTCATTGAAGCTTTGATCTGTACGAATAGCCTGCTTTTGATGCACTTTCCATGTGGTCATCATTATGAAATCTACCGGTCTTTTGTTGATTTATTTGTTTTCTCCTTTTGCAGGTGTGAAGCTTTTTCTACATATCCCCGAACTTATGATCTTCTACATCTTGATGGCCTCTTTACTGCAGAAAGCCACAGGTAAAAAATGAGCCTTCATGCATCTTTCCTTTAGTGTGGGGCACATCAAATATGTTGAAAGCGGATATTAATTTGGCATATTGAACTAGTTAGTTAATCTTAGAAGTTAGGTTCTTTATGCACCTTTGTGTAATTCGGCATGGCAGATAACCTAGGAAGTACAAATTCAACTGTATAAATGGTTCTAATGATGATGGTGTTTTGGGCAGATGCGAAATGAAATATGTACTCTTAGAGATGGACCGAATCCTGCGCCCCAACGGGTATGCAATAGTTCGAGAATCCAGCTACTTTGTGGACGCTGTTGCGACTATTGCCAAAGGCATGAGATGGGGTTGTCGCAAAGAAGATACTGAGTATGGCATAGGGAAGGAGAAAGTATTGATATGCCAGAAAAAACTCTGGTATTCATCAAATCGGACTTCTAGATGATGAACATAGAAAACCAAACCAAGTTTGATCTCTTGGAGGGCCGGAAATAGGGTTAGAAGCAAGTTCAATACCATTCACAGAAAATTAGTTCACTTCATTCTATAAGAAGCCAAGAATATTCAAATTTTATCATGAAGACTCAGTTACCCAATAAGGTGCTTTCATTAACATATAGGATTTGCGTATAGATATATTTTTTTAAGGTGTCAACATGTACTTGGTATAATTTCCCTTTCCTCCTTTTCTTTTTCCATATTTCATATTTTTTTCCTCTTTTCATGCCAAGCTGTAATAGAATGATTTGGAAATTTGTTTGTAAGGGGTTTATATGTACCAAAAAATGAAACAGCAACGGGTTTAAAAATTAAGACCCTGACAGCTTGTTATTGTTTTAGAATCTTAAATGAACTTTGCTTTTGTTTTATGCAGTCACGCTACGCTGCAATTTTAGTTCTTTGTTGGTGCTCATTAGTATATGTTTGTTTGAATACAAGCGATAGTCTAAATTACAACGAGGGGGGCCTTCTCACACACACTACTGTTAGCACATGGTTTGAGATAATCTAATTAGCTCAATTTATATTTTAGATTTATCGTGATAAATCATTTTCCATTATGCTTTTATCCCAAACCATTCCTAAAGAATGTTTTAGCCATTACTATATGAAGGGGTAATGCAATGTCGTTTCCAAGATTGGTATGTTATCTACATACAATATTAGGAATACGACTCAACTCCTACTAATCTTCTTGTAATAGAAGAGATTCATTCATATCTTTGAAAAGACTCAAGCTCTTGACTTTCTTATCAAAGTCAATGCTTCTAGCTCCCACTAGCTTGCTTAAGTTCATTGATGGACAACTATAGCTTATACATTTTGTGATTTGAACCATGGGCCATTTCATAAAAGTTGTTTTGTGTTTCCTTTTGTTCAAAACTCACAATTCAAGTATGTAGCTATGGCAAGCAATATCCGAATAGTTACAAGTGAGAAGGTTTCTTCATTGTCGACCTTTTTTCACATTATTGTAATCCTCATGATACTACCTTAGCGTCATAGTTTTCTATCTTGCCTTCAAGCCTATCTTCCTCTTGAAGACCATTTGGAGCCAATAGGTACTATACCTTGTGACGGGTCAACTAGAGTTAAAACTTGCTTGGCATGCATAGAATCCGATTCAGATTTTTATGGTTTAATGCCATTTAATATGAGTAGATGTCATACATTTCCTCATGGTAGTTAGAATGATCTCCCAATTCTTCTAAGATGGTTCTCTGATCCAATTCGAACTACGTGGAGCTTTTCTCGGAACTAAGTTGTCATTTGAATGTTGATTTGTGGTTTCCTATCTTAAGCTAGTCCTCTTTCAAAGAATATAGCGTGCGATTCGAAAAACAACAATTGCTTGTCGGTTGATAGATGTAATGTCATAAGGTTTCCTTTAGACATTTCACAAATCTATTTTAGCTCTAAGCTTATGCATATCAACCCCTTTGATATCTATGACAACCTCAAATCTTAACATTATTAAGATTCAGTTTTCATTACAACTACATCTTATGAAGTTCTTTGGAAGGTACTAGGTTTGGCAAGTATGTTGCCATTAACCGTGCTTATCCTAATATCAATTTAATCATTATGGAAAGAACCAAAATCATTAAGATTTGATTTCTCTTTAGGAGACTTCCATTATGATGTGATGCCATGTTCCTATAGTATAATTAAGGAATGTTTATCTTCTAATATTCCTTTCTTTGATCAAATCTAGGGTTTTAATACTATTGACATTATGCTTCTCTTTTATACATTCTTGAATACTTTAAAACTATTTCAAAGAATTCAAGCTTGTGTTTAATGAGATACACATAGTTCAACCAAGAGTGATCATTGTGAATGCTATAAATGAGAGAAGCATTTTGAGGTGTTACCCTTTAGTAAGGTAAACCCTCTCTTAGACCTTTTGGTTCTTTAAGGCATCATTGTTTCTAAACAACCATTCTATCATCCATTTCTTAAAATAAAAGAGGCCATTATTGGATTGTAGCAATCCAATTACTTGTCCATGAAGAACAATGTAATTTTGTCAAACAAAACAACATTTCCATCTTGAAGATGAAATTAAGTTAATTTAGGAAAATAAAGACGATTTTCATTCTTACACCTCTAATGTAGAACATTTAAGGAAGTAGCTTCCAACTACTATTTGAAGACTTATTCTTTCAAATCTTATGCACTACTCTGCACAGAGATTTAATCAATCATATCCTTAAAGTATTCTCTCTCATTACTCAGAATAGAGATTCATTGTTGTACATTCATTTGTCTCCATAACTTTATTGAGAGTCCTATTAAACACCTTTAAGTTATGTCTTCTACAACACAACTGTACAGTGCTATAAAAGACAAACAACATAGCCACAAGACATCTATGATGTCTCAGGTCTAAGGATTAGTTTGCGCCTTTGCAATTTATGAATTTTAGTTTGACATGTGAGTAAAGACTCCCATTCTAGAACTCATGCATTTGATCCCGTTGAGTGTACTTGTTCTCCTGCAAGCACTTACACACATATTGTGGTGTTGAGACCTCATCATTCTCTACATATAGAGAAGATACTGTGTGTACTGGTCTTGGGGGAATATCAATGGTCAATTGATACTCCTATGACCAAGAACATATTTAGGATTGGGATCATGATAAGTCTGGAAGTATGTAATCTCATTACAAAATTCTCATATCTACTTATATATTCTTAGGACTATAGTTGTTTTAGTGTTATGATAATAGACCTATTATCATAGTTGAAAACAACTAGTCTTACCTATGAATAACTTAATAAGTTATTATAAAAGATGTCATTACTATTAATTATCACATAATTAGTTGGCTTTAAGGGCATACTACTAACAACCTTTGCAAGAGTTAAAACCTTGAGAAGAAAGATGAGCTAAATGGTGAATATATAGAACATATGGGAGAACACTAGGGTTCTCCTTCTCTCTCCAAAATTTCAGCACAAGGTGGGGTTGGCCTTCTCTTGGGCCTCTTGGTCCAACTTATCCCACTTATCCCTCTTATCTCTTTTTGAGACCATTTTTGCTAAAATTCCATGGCCTTTAGTTTCTCAAACCATTTTAAGCAATTAATTAACTCTTTAATTAATTCTCTCTCTAATCAATTGACTTAACCATTGATCTTGTCATCTTTCATTATTTATCCAAATTATAAGCGTATGGGTGTGGGATCCATTGAGTTCTAATTAGTGAGGTCGTGGGTGATTATGAACTCTTTATTTTATCGATTGTGAATTACAACTCCTTTTTTAATTCTCCCTTTATGAGGACCCATTTACAGAATATCCTCAGGGCTTCCACAAACTGTGAGTGACGTCTAGCAACATATCACAGTTACCCAAGCTAATATATAATATATTGGGATCAGGGCTGGCCTTGACTTTTGGGTGGCCCTAGGCGATAAACTAAATAAAGCCCCTTCCCTTAGTATACAATTGCGAAAAAACAACAAATAAAATGATTTTACGTGGCGCGTAGAGTGCGTGAATAAAAAAGGTAGTATGCATTATAATAGGACATATCTCCATAAAAAAAATAAAAAAAATCAAATTGGATATTTAATATCATGAAGGAAATTACAAATTTACAAACCAACATTTCAGCAACCAATAATGGGAACATGTCCCTGAAATTGGTAATTTCTATTCTCAAAAGATACATTAAGACTAAGCATTTGTATCAAAATACTAAACCTTTTCCCTTAAGATTGGCTTAAGGCTTCAGGCTTCATCACATGAGTTTAAGTGCAAAATCCTCTTTGTGGTATGCATAAAGAATCATACAACATAAGAAAAGTAACAAATGGTAGCACAAATGGATAAAAAAAAAACTACAATAAGTAACAACATACATATTTTTGAAGACATAAAACTGAAAACAAAGAAAGTAGAACACAAAATGCCCACTAAAAGTAACTCATAAATATCTTCAACTAAAAGAAACTACAATAAGTAACTTAGCATATATTTCAATAAACAATTATAGAGCATAATCCTACCTGGTCAATTATAAAGTAGAGTGTAAGTCTCTTAATAGCAAAGTCATTGTCTGTGTATAATCTGGATCACAAAAGCAGCTTTGAAAACAATATATGAAATGGTTGCAGCAAATTTGGAAAGGTCCAAAATCTACCTAGAGCCTACTTCCTCCCAAACAGGCAGCCAGTAAGAGATCCACCCTATTACAATGTGCAAATATCCGATGTTTTCCTTTTATCAAAATACATAAATAGCTGCTTGATTTCCTCTACACCATCTACGATCCAAAAAATAAAAACAATAACATTAAAAGTACAATCAATCATTGAAAAATCCTTGATCTTCTAGCATTTTGAGAAGCAAAATCTTCAATAACATCTTCAAAATCAAGCTTTTCCAACATATTCTTTTCAATGCATAAGATTGCCAATCCATTCAACCTTTCTTGTGACATAGTTGAACGCAAGTAAGATTTTATTAATTTTAATTTTGAAAAACTTATTTCTGCTGATGCCACAGTCACTAGCACAATAAATATAATTCTATAGCAACCGAGACATTTGAAAGCAATCTACATATTTTACATAATCAAGAACTTGAATGGTTGTCTTTGCCCCTTGTGGTAAATACAATTGTAAAACTTCCAATTCAGAACACAAATCATCAGCATTAATATCAGATTCATTGCCCTGTGTTAAAGCATCTTCAAGATTAACACAACATTCATGTAACATTTGATAATTCATTACAAATAACTTTTTAGGATTCAACAAAAAATCAAAAATACCTTCAAATATTTCTAATTGTTCAAATCTACTCCTCAAAGAAGAAATAGCAGCATCAACCACAACAAGAAAATAATTAACCCTAAAAGATTCTTCAGCAGATTGAAAAGTCTCTTCATGACATTTTCATCAAATTGTTTTCTCCTACGAATTTGACGTTTTTTATGAAATAATAGGTTAATTTCCATCTTAGATGCAATATACTTGGCAGAAAATAAGGCAGATGTGAACCCATTTTGTCTATAGTCTTCAAAATAAGAAACAAGCCCCTTCAAATTTTTTATTGCAGCATCAATTTGCATATCTTCATATTGCAATTTTTGGCTAACCTAAGTCAATTTTTTTCAAAATGTTATGCCATATAGTCATGCTTAACAAAAATTCAAAACTTTCAAGTTCATATGTTGCTAAAGATTCAACTTCACTCTTTGTTTTGGCGTCTTCACTAACTCTAGACAATTAAAACAAAGCTTCTCTTATATCATCAGTTTGGGCTATTATGGCTCTGACACTATTAATATGACTTTCCCATCTTCTTGTTGACAATGGTTTGAGAGTTAATCCATGGACATGATCTTAACATTTTTTCCATCTCTTTGTAGAACTAGCAA